TATTTTATCATGGAATACTGAGACCACATTGTTGAACTCTTCATTTTTAATTTAGTTGTCATTTCAAAAAAATAAGCTAGTAGCACATTTTCCGAATAGTTTGAAATGTTTTTATCATTGCACCATGTGAGAAATCTTTCGTAAGCATGATTATAAACTCTACTTGACTTAGTTGGAATTAAATCATTCGTAGCTGCCTTAGCAATGTCAACAACGTCGGGCGGTGTACAGTTGGGTTCTGAGTCCGACATAATATAATCTAAAAGAAAATTTCAGTACACTTTACTACAACAAACGAAATTTTGATGCTCAAGTACTTACCAAAAATGCACAGTCCAATTGTTGCTTTAAATCACTTACAATATTTCTGACATTATAAAATATTATTGAACTGTCAAATTTGTTTTTGACTTGGCAATCACAAAACCAGTAACCACGGAAATGTAGTGCGCAGTTTTATAATTATTATTCTCTGAATTTATCAACTTCGTTGCAATCGTTTTGAATTTTTATTTAAATATTAATTAGTTCTATAGTCTGGATGCCGTTTGCGGAAAAAATAGCATGTTTCATTCGGAGCAAAAGCACTTTTTGTGGCTCGTCTGAAATTGTCGGCCTCACTAACGTTCGGCCATCAAACATTCAGACTCGCCACAAAAAGTTATACTTTTACTCCTAATAAAACAATATACTATTTTTCCTTATTTTTGTTAAATGGAGAAAGGCTTGGATATTTTTCAAATCATAAAATTTTATAACCCCAGTAGCCTACTATGTTCATTGTAACAGGTACAAATTTTTCAAGGATCACGAAAAGTGCATTTGGCCTTTTTATCGTATTGAAAAAAAAAAGGTTAAAGAAGATTTTACTTCTCAGGCAGTATCTGACAATAATTTTTTCATGAATAAAAATAAATGTTAAAAATAAATGTTTCTGTAAACTTTAATAAATAAAAAAGTTATCAAAAGTATCTAAAAAAGTAAAAAAAAAAACACATTGATACAAAACTATTAATCGGCAAAAATAACAAAGTGTTATGAAAAATGTTAATAATAATTTTAAACTTATTACGTTTGAAAAACAGCAAAAAATTGATTCAGCGCGTCATCGGGCTTTTCTCTTACCCATCTTATACATTGAGTTGGAAGTGAGATAGAAGTACTTCTCTCTAAAAGTACACGCGCGTAGGAAGCATATTGTTATAACGTAAAAAAAACATAACAACAAACAAAATTTTGAAAATTTATTTAGGTTATTTTGTTTATTATAGTTTGAGTATTCGGTAAAAAATTTAAAATTATAGCATTTTAAATTTTAAGGTATATTATTTAATTCAAAAAAATTAGAATTTTCGTCAATTTGGATTTTAAAAAATTCATAACAATTAAACGGTTGAAGATACGATAATGTGCGTAAGGACTTTTTATATTCGAAATATCCTAAAAAATATAAAAAAAATTAATTTATGGCAAAAAATTTATTTTTTTGCCTTAATTGTTCGTTGTTTAAACAATAACATCAACAAATATCGAGTGTCATCTTACACTTTTATAATTAGGCAAGCCTTCCGGACATTTAAAAAAAAATTACGAATTAAAACACCCTTTATCATTCTCTGGTCGAAATATCAACCACTTAAGTTACAGGACCATTCCAAGCGTGCAGAGTCGCAGAATCAACCACTTATCATCCAAGCTATGTATTTAGGTTGCATAGTTCATCAAACTGGAGAATAGTAAGCACGCGCGCACTTTTAGATCAGAAGTGGTTCATATATCAACCAAAGCGCGTCATGGCATCTGTTGCTTGGTTGATTTTTAATTTTTTACATTGAGTGAAGTTATTTTCTGTGTATCCAACATTTTTTAATGAAACAAAAGGTATGTATACAAGTAGATAATATAGAATGATACATTTCCTGACAATTTGACTAAAAATTTAACATTTTTATTCAAAAAAACTTCGTTTTACTATTGAAATCAAAGTGAGGTTGTATTGACCAAACTTTTATATATATTTTTGTTTTGTGACCTGAGATAATTTTTTGTAAAATAATGTTTGAATAATGTTAGTGTAAACTCTAGAGAGTTATTTTCTGGGTATTTGGCAAATACATAAACGTTAGCTAAGGAAATAAATTACATTTTACAGAGATGATGGACTCGAGCGTGACCTTCGACCATGATAAATTTGCAAATTTATCCGAGGATGATATGTTTAACTGGTTGGATGTTATATCTATTGATCAAGCAGAGGATTCGGAATATGATGGAGATAGTGATGCCGATGACTCTATATACTATTCCAGAAATAATAGTACTTCAAGAATTTCAAGTTAGTAAAAATATGTAATTTTATTATAAAAACTTCATGCATCTGAATATGTACATACATTATATATTTGTATGTTTTACAGCTTCTAAAGATTCAGAGCATTCAGCTTCTAAAGCACCAGAGCATTCAGTTTCTAAAGATCCAGAGCCTTCAACATCTCAAGAAGCATCATCTACTTTAGAACCAATAAAAAAACCAGCTCGCAGTACCAGAGCTCAATCAAATATAATGATTGATCATTCTAATGACTATGATTCAGATGATTTCATGAAAGATCCCGATTTTTTACCAGAACAAGAAAATGTTATCAAGGATTTTCATTTTGAAGACCAAGACGATATTAAAGAAGAAGAAATGCTAGAAGACCAATCTGAAGACATTAATAGTTGTTACGAATATAATTTTACAAAAACCGCGAACATGCCAGGTATTTATTCAAAATTCAAGTTTTCTGAAAAAAGTGGTCCAACGAATCATATCGATACCAACAGCCCCCTTAGTATATTCAATATGGTTTTTACTAATGATTTAGTTTAGTTGATAATTAGCGAATCTAACATCTATGCACATTCAAAAGGTTGTTCATTGAATCTAAATATAGATGAATTGAATGCGTTTATTGGCATACTTATAATAATGGGATTTCATAAATTACCTTCCTTACGATTGTACTGGTCAACAGATGCAAATATGAAAGTTGACAGAATTGCAAATGTATTGACTCAAAAATGGTTTTTGCAGATTTTGCGTCATATACATTTGAATGACAACAGTAAAATGCCTGACAGAAATAGTCCCAATTTCGATAAACTGTTTAAGATCCGGCCTATGCTAGAGGGTCTAAATAAAAGTTTTAAAGCCAATTACATCCCAGATAGGTTCCTTGCAGTGGATGAGAGTATGGTGGGTTTCAAAGGTAGAATATCTTTGAAGCAATATATGCCTATGAAACCTACGAAACGTGGAATCAAGGTTTGGGGCATGGCATGTTCAAAAACAGGTTACTTGCTTACTTTTGACGTGTATGAAGGTAAAAGTAAAAATAATGCAGATATACATTGGGTGAGCGTGTTGTTTTGAAATTATCAAAATGTTACTGGAACAAGGGCTATTGCATTTTTTTTGATAATTTTTTCAGCACATTTCATTTATTATCAACTATACTAAAACAAAACACATTTGCCGTTGGTACTTTTCGTGTAAATAGACAAAATTATTCAAAAAATATTTTAGCTGATGACAAGTCTTTAAAACTTGGACAGTCAGATTTTGCTATGTCTTCTGAAATATCTGTATGTAAATGGAGAGATCGGGGTAAAAAGCCAGTTGTTGTAATTAGTAATATGCATGACGCTAGCGAAATTACAACAGTTCAAAGGACAAATAAGATTGGTATCAAAGAAACTATTAATTGTCCTCTACCTATACGTGACTATAATATGCATATGAACGGGCTAGATCATTTTAACCAGCTTGTTGCTTGCTACAATATATCTTGGAAGTCCAGAAGATGGTGGCTCAAGTTATTTTACCACTTTTTAGATTTTTCTATTGTAAATTCATACATACTTCATAAAATTCAAATGAGGGCAGAAAGTCGAAAACCTATCAGTCAGTTAAAATTTAGAACTATAATTGCGGACGAACTTATTAATAACTTCAATGGTCGGAAGCGCAAAGGCCCTTCACCTTCAGCTTTTCGGAAAATTAAAAAATTAGGAGGAAGAAATGCCACAGTTGATAATAGTAACAGACTAAGTAATGTTGGCTCTCACCTTCCTATGAAAGGAAGCTCTAGAAGGTGCGCCCGCTGTAGCACAAAAGCAAAGAGCACTAGATCACAAATAATGTGCAAATCTTGTGACGTAGCTTTGTGTTTAGAATGTTTTGCTCCTTTTCATTCTAATGAATAAATTTTTTTATAATATATGTAAAAATAATCATTGTAATGACAAGTGGTTGATATATCAACCAATGAACATACAAGTATTGTCACATGTCTAGACGTTCATTGGTTGAAATATCAACCACCAATTTTTTCTGTAAGTTAACAAAAAAATTTAAAAAAATACTTTAATAGTCTTTAATTGAGTCCAAATAAACCTGTTTATGTAAACATAAATCATCCACAGCCAAAAAAATAGTACTGCCCGTTAAAGGGTTAAAACAATTTTGCAAACGAATGCGTCACTATGCCCTACACTAATTTTTGTGAAAGTTTGACAGCTACGAATATTGGTTTGCATCGTGAGCCACAACTATAGCTGTCATTAAAAGTGGACAGCCAAATGGTCTGCCGGCGTATATACGATCTGAAATGTAATATTAAAACGGGTTTTTAGCATTTAAATTGAATATACTTGTAATAAAATATGTGTAATTGGGTAATTTCCTTCTCGCTAATAAATACAAAGGATTATGCCATATAAAGGCCCATTTTACGAGATAAATTATTAGCATATACGTAATATCTTATTTCCAAAAAATTGTGTATTGCACTTGTATAGAATAATCACCATCAGGTCAAATTTTGTAAAAAAATTATTATAGGTCTAATTAAAAGAAAAGCTGTAAATAATCAATTAAACTACTACAATAATATTAAACTTTATTCTAAAGCATTTATAAACGAAAAGTATTTTTATAATTTGTTAATTTTTTTTAGAATGTTTGTAAAATAAACCTCTATTTGGAAAAATTCGATCTGTTCTGCGGTTCAGAAGCTTTAGAATTAGATAAAATGATGCTATGTGGACACCTTTCAGGAAGAAAACGTAAGTATAAATGTTTATTGTTTGGATGTATTTTGATCGCATCTCAATACCATAACTTCATAAATATATCTTGAAAGGATCCTCTGATTTGCCAAAAAAGCTTAAGAGCACAGGGAAAAACGAACTTAAACCATTTTCGAATTGTGAAGAAATATCAATTTTAAAATTTACAAATCCGTTTTTATTAGATCGTGGAAAAAATTAATAGTATATTATTCAATAAGTGTATAATGTTGACCATATTACACGAGTGTTGTAAATATTCGAGTGTAGTATGGTCCATTATACACGAATTGAATACTATACTTTATCTACAACTGAATACGGGGGCTCATCGAATTTTTATAAAAAATTCTTTGAAATTGTTATAAATAGAATTGACAAGATTGTTCACAATGAAAAGACCTTTCAAATGAGGAGTATTTAAGCCACCGTGTGAAATAAAACGCCAATTTATACAGGAACTCGTTTAAAGTTATTTATTGATGTAATTAATAGTAACATTACAATTTGAAATATTAATAGCTCCGGTAATATCATTGAGATTATTGTTTTTTAAAGAAAAATTAGTGTTGCTATTGATGAGTACAGAATCATGACGATCACTCTCAGAAGATGATGGATTATTAAGACCAACACAATTTTCATTATTGATTTGACTTAAAATTGCTTGAGCTGTTTCTATTTTGTTCTTTTTTGAATTGGCGATGTACCCTTCTGCTGTGGAGGCAGATTTCCAACCTCCATGACGTTTTAATGTTATCATTGAAGCTCGAGAATCAACAACCAATGTTGCAGATGAACGCCTGAGGCAATGGCCAGTATATCTCTCAGGGTTTGGTAATTTTAAAAATGTAGCAATTTGCTTTACCATTGCGCTAAAGCTTGTTTATTCCTATGACTTGTTTTGTACACTTTCCTTTTTGGAAATTAAGAAAAAAATCTTGTGGTGAATTTTCGGGCCGGAGCTCTATATATTTTTTAACGATTTTGAAAAAATTATCCACAATTGTGAAATTCCTTCGGACTTTGGTTTTTGTGTGTGGCACGTTTACTTGAAAACATCCCTAAAAACATCTTAAATCCCCAATTTTCATATTCTTTAGTTCACAGGATCGGCAAGCACCCATGGCCCCCATAATCAAGACAACCTTAAAAAATGTGTAGATTAAGTTAAAGAATTTTGATTTTTGATTCGAGTTTTTACCTTTGTTCCAAGATATTTAAAATCTGTGGCTTTCTTTATAAACCTCTTAATTTGTTCACCAGTCGGAGCTTCAGATTTCTTAGGTTCATAATTTTCGGATCGTCTTTTCAACAAAGCACGTAATCTCGGATATTTATCAATGTCGACATTGTGCTTGATGTTTAACATGCTTTTAAGCATGGAATAGTTTGTCCATAAAGTAGACGATTTGTATTTACTAGAAATTTCTATAAAATATACAAGCACAGTGTCTTCGGAAAAAGAGGATACATTTTTTGTTTGTTTCCACGACATAAATTTGTTGTATGCAATCTCATAATTTTTCCTCGATATTTCAAGTAATAATTCCAACGACGCCACTTTAGCAGCGTCCCCGATTTCAGGAGGTGTTAGTTCCATGTAATCATCGTCTTCCATTTTTTTAATTGATAAACACTTAAAACGGGCTTAATATTTTAAGTTTAGTTTCAAAAAAGAATCGGAAACAACGAATAACTGTCAACATGCTGTCAACTAACTTGTCAAACGTATACTAGATCTAAGGATTTTTAATTCTAGTGGGGTATAATTGACAAAAATCGTGTAATATGAATATATTCTCACTAGTGATATATGGATTGCTTTATGTTGCCTTAGATACGCATATTATACATCCATATAATGACAGTTGTAGATAAAATATTTTTGATACTAGAGGGTACTTTAATATATGCTTATAATAACCTAAAATAAACCCATTCAACAACATACTTAACTTATTAAAAAAAAACAATTTTTAAACACAAAAAATATAAACAAAAAGAAAACCGATCTAAGTCAAAACTGTGATCGTAGTGATTAGCAGAGCTAGGTAATTCCTAGTTAAAAAGTAATTATTACTTACTTACTTTTTTTAATACAATTTGTAATTGTATTTAAGTACTATTTTTTTTTAAATAATTTGGAATTGTAATTGCAGCAAAATCTGTTGAGAATTTGTGCTTTGTAATTATATTATTTAAATTGTCTAATTAATTTTATTATAATTACATTTTCTATTTACAATTACATTTATAAGAACAATTATATTTTTTAATTACAATTAATTTTAAATGCATGTTTACAAGATGAACGTTGCATAAAAACAAGAAATTTTCTATTCGAACCGGTCACTAGAGCTTGGACTCACAACTCACATCTACCTCATTTGTTTAAATTCAACAATGTGCTGTACCGAAATTGTTGAAACAAAAATAATAAATAAAAACTTTAAATAAACCCAGAAAAATATATGAATTAATGATAAAAATGATTCAAAATATTTTTTGATATCCAACGATAATACTGAAAAATATAAATTTTGTCGTTCTATAAATTTCTTTATTTTAGAAAAAATACGTTTATGGCGAAAATGATAGAGAATGACATTACAAACAAATCTTGTTGAAAGAATGTTTTCTATAATAATAAATAACAAATATCTTAAATTAGAAAAATTACCCCTTATAAAGTAGGTTGTGACGGTATCAAAGCTGAAGTAATAATACTATTAGTTACGTATATTTTGGAGCCATTAACAAATGTTTTAAACAAGTGTATTGAAGTGGGCTGCTTTTCTTCAATTTTCGAAACTGCATTAGTTGTACCGATATTTTAGAAAGTGAAAAAACGGACGTAAACAACTACAGACCGGTATCGTTAGTCACTCATATGTCAAAAATCTTTGAACTATTACTAAAAGAAAAATTAATAAAATTTCTAAATAAATATGATATTTTATCTCATAATCAGTATGGATTTAAATCAAATACATCCACTGAAAACGCCATATTATCCTTGACCACAAAAGTTACTGAAGCACTCAATGAAAGCAAACCCTCTTTAAGTATTTTTATTGATTTAAAAAAAGCATTTGACACTGTGAGTCATCCTCTACTTTGCCAGTCTCTTGAGGATATTGGTATTAGAGTTACTTGTCTACAACTGTTCTCTAGTTACCTCACCGGAAGGTCTCAAAAAGTCAAAGGGGGCGAAGAAATCAGCATGGAGAAAGAAGTAGAGTATGGAGTTAAGCAAGGCTCTGTCTTAGGAACCAAACTTTTTAACACATATATAAATAGATTATTCCAATTGAAAACTAAGGGCAAAATTATTGGATTCGCAGATGACACAGCCATCTTTTACAAAGAAGATGATTGGCAATATCTAAAATTAATAGCAGAGTCTGATTTTACTCTTATTTCAGAATGGTTACAGTACAAATTACTTACACTAAATTTAGAAAAAACAAACTATTTACCTTTTAGTTGTAACTCAGTAGGACTTCCAAATTTTAATAAATGCATTGCTAGTGGAAGCAGAGAATTGATGATTCTACCTGTTAAACAAATAAAATATTTAGGTATTAATATAGATCATCACTGGGACTTACATATATTTTACACATTAAATAAATTGAGAACTATTTTATATAAATTTAGAAAAATTAAAGAAGTCTTACCTCCACAACATAGAAAACTATTATGCACTTGTAGAAAGTCATCTTCGATACGGAATGTGTGCCTGGGGGGCTGCCTTTAAATCCCATATAAAATGCTTAGAAATAATTTAAAGAAAATTTTTTTAAATAATGTGTAATAAACCCTCTAGATATCTATCTGATTCTCTTTATTTGGAAACAAACATACTCGACTTAAGACAATTATATTTTATGCACGCCTGCTCCTATTACCATATAAAATGTAAAAATTCAGCAGCTGTTTCAGAGCACAATTATAATACTCGCCAGAAAACAAATTATATAGTTCCTCGTATGATAAAAACTTATAGAACTAATAGTAGTCTCACCTTATGGAAGTTTCATTGGAGCTAAATGGATACTACCAATAGATGGCGCTAGTGAATATGGATAAGTCGATATTCGTTTGCAGTGGGCGGAGTTGAGGGTCCACCTGAAATTTTAGTAAATGACGGAGATCGATCGATGGATTTCTATTTTTAGCTCTTGGATGAAATTTCATTCACTCGTGATTTATTATTTGGACTATTTTCTATCTAATGTTTGTTATTGTGCGTTGTTAGTGCGTTTACGGGTAGTAGGTATTGTGAATGAGTTGTGTTTATGTTTTATTACTGAATTATTTTACTGTTAATAAAGGACGAGTTCCCAACAAGAGTACCTACATGATTTATATAAAAAAAATTAAATTATAGTTTAAATTAGTTTTTGGAAAGTGTCAAAAATGTTTACCGAATTCAGTAAAATGATACTGAAAAATAAAAATATTATAGCCATTAATAATTTTTGAATTTTCAACTTTCAATTTCGAAAACGGGTATTTTTTTTCTAAGCATATTTCGTTTAATAGTTGTATTTTTAATCAGATAATCTTTAGTTGTACTATGTCTTATTCTTAATGATATATTATTATAAATTAATTAACTATTAATTATTAATGTTTTAAAATTAGAATTAAAAAATTGTGTATTTATAACTGTTTTGAAATTAAAATAGAAAATATGCTTTTGTTTCTCTTTTCCTTTACATGTTTTATCCGAATTAATTTAAAATAAATTATATAATATTAATAATAGCAATAATAATACATTTCTTAAGTATTGAGAAAAATTGTATTTTTAATTCAAATACATATACCTATAGGTAGGTAGGTAGGTAGGTAAGGTACCTACCTAAGTACTTAGCATAAGTAATTATAAACAACAGGTTATTTCTTTAATCTGGTGCGTAACAATGTAATTAAAAAAACCCTTAAGATGGTTGGTACATAATATAAATGAATTCTTAATATTGAAG